TTTTTTAAGTCAGCAGCTACATAAACTGTAGCTGCTGACTTTTAATAAACACACACTTACCTGTCCCAGGGTCCAGCGATGTGCTCACCCATGCCGTCCGTTCTCTGCCTCTTCTATCCTCGGCGCTGGAATCACAACTGTGGGCACCAGGCTGTGGCAGCTTGCGGCTTCACAGCTGGGTGCCCACAGTGCATGCGTGAGTCGCATTGCACATTCTGATTGGTCTGGCAGTCTTCTGGTACCTGTGAAGGTTCCCAGGAGACTGTGGGAGGAAGGAGGGGGTCGAACTTCCGTTTCACTTCGCTGTGGCGAACTGAGCCGGAAGAGGGAGCTCTCAAAAACAGGTATCCACTCCCACCCCCCAAAAGGTGCCAAATATGGCAGTGGAGAGAGGAGGCAAACAAGCGGAGTTTCCACTTTAGAGTGAAACTCCGCTTTCAATTAAATGTTTTTCAGATTTGGTGCCCTTTTTTTAAACGGCAATAGGCTCAATTCATAAATCTAAAACACCAGGATAATTATACTTATTTTTTAAAAAGTGTATGTTATTTTCATCTCCAATAATCTTTGAACATTACAGTTATGCAGTGAAATTAAAGTTCCTTAACCTCGCGTTAAAGATTTGTGAATTGGAGCTAATGAGTTGAGAATCTTAACCCACTTAATTGTGTGATCATTTTCTTCAATTATCCAATCATGTGAAAAGCAAAAGCAAATTCCTGTTCACTTTAGTCATCTGCCATTCAGGCCAGTTCTGACATTTCTTTCATACATGTAACAATCAGCATTTTGTTTCTAGAAAATTACTGAAGACCCCCAAATCTTATATATTATTTTAAGCAGAGGCTTAAAATACACTGGAAAATACACTTTAATGAGTTTTAGTGAACACAAACATAAAAATTGGTATAATATAAAATATTATATTACACCGAGTAAATAGATACCAAAGGTCCGCTTTAAATTGTGCATGCCCAAAGAACAGTGACAACCTACAAAACATTAACTATCCATAGGCAACATTTTTAAAGATTTTACAGGTTGCCAGATTAGCGTTACACAGGAGGTCTGGTACTATGCAAGCAGGACCACCTTGAGCATTTGCTTTTGCACGCGAGCACAGGGAGATGGGGCACTTTAATTTTTTAACTTTTTTTATTTAAATGTAGTTTTTACACTGTCCCTTAAGTTTTTCTATCAACTTGTGATAGCATAGGTCATGACAAGTCCTTTTTTTTGGAAAAATATGGGGTCTGTGAGACCCCAGATCCCACTTCTGGCCGCCATAGCATCTGACCAAGCTTGTTTATTTTAAACCAAAACCAGAAGTGATGAAATCCTGGTTGCTTCTGGTTTCTGATGTTACACAGTGAAAGGAACAACATCAGTTCCTCTCACTGTGTGCCCAGAAGATGATACCGCCAGACACATACTTACCGAGCTACCAGATGGGACAGGAGAGCCAGGAAATAGCGGCGGTAGGAGGGGGAAACCCCTTTCTGCTGCCTGTAGAAGTGACCGAGTGGCTCTATAACCACCTAAATCAATTCTACATAAAAGTCCATCACCGGCTGAAAATTTTGATACCAGGAATACATCTGCAGCTGCAGGCCTCATCCCAGTATAACCACATAAACCCGTTGACTTCATATGATGTCCTACAGGCGTAAAATGGTGAAATAATCAATTCTATACAGAATAAATATATAAACAGGGATTAGCTGTTCACATGATTGCATAATTAAAGTGGATATTTACACAATCTGCTCAGTGAAGATTCCTAATTCATGTGATAAATCAGTCTTAATCCGTCTTCCTAATAATAACAATACATACTTAATACTGTTCCAAGAAACGTACGATACCAATTCCACTAAAATGCTCCCTGGTCACCTATGCATTGGGATGACAGGTTATCTTTATAAATTTTAATTGTGTATTTTAGGATTAAATGAATGAGAAAATGGATGCTGCTCTATCTAAAAACACTAGGGGAAAAATAAACCCTATAAATATAAAAATGAATATACTATTATAATAATAAGTGGCAAAGAAAGTGCAAATGAATAGAAAAAGGACATAAAATGAACTGGTGATACAATAGGTGAGCAATAAATATTAGGTGGAAAAAATAAATCACATAACTAATCGTGACCCAATGAGTAAACCATAAATGATGAATGATAATAAATCACATGACATGTGCATAAACCATGTGAAATAAATGTGAAAGAACCAATGCTGTTGTGTACAGACCTAATACCAAGATGGCAGCTGCTGTCTGTGCCGGAAATGACGTCACCATGCTTTCGTCCTACGCATGACGTCAGGGCCCTGAGGAAGTCATGTGATTCATGACGCAACATGTAGGACAGAAGCGTGGTGACGTCATTTCCGGTGTGGACGGCAGCCACCATCTTGGTACACCTGAATGCAATACACCTATATGTTATTGCAGTTTTTATGCTTGTGGGTCTGTGTACCCTGCATTTTTATGTGAGTAGGCATTTTGCTGCATTCTTTATTCAATAAATGTAATATGCTTACTACGCTATGGGAGTTCTCTGATTTAATCTTCCATGTGGGGGCCGCTTAAGAGGAGATTGTCTGGCCACTTCCGTGAGGGGACATTACCACTGTTGGTACGCTCATGAGTGCTGTACTGTTTCCGCCAAGAGGATTCCCCTGATTACTGCCAAGAGGACATATACGAATAGGATCGTTCTGAGTGTTATATTGAAGCTTTTTGACCCCTGTGGGTCGCAGCCTGGAGGTGAGCATTCACGCTAGCTGGTGGTGGATTACTCATTGCAGTGGTCACCAGATATGTCACATGTTTTGAAGAACACAGATTTATTAGGACTGTGTACAACAGCATTGTTTTTTTCACATTGTTTTCACATGGTTTATGCACGTTATGTGATTTATTATCATTCATCATTTATTGTTTACTGATTGGGTCACGATTAGTTATGCGATTTATTTTTTCCACCTAATATTTATTGCTCACCTATTGTATCACCAGTTCATTTTATGTCCCTTTTCTATTTCATTTGCACTTTCTTTGTCACTTATTATAATATTAAATTAATTTATTATTTATAGGGTTTATTTTTCCCTAGTGTTTTTGTGTAGCGCAGCATCCATTTTCTCATTCATTTTTTTCTGCCACTATTGGTAATATAGGCAGGTGTTAGCAGTTACCCAGTTTTGTTTTAGGGAATTGGCAACACAGAAGGAATTCTTGTTTTGTATTTTAGGAATAGATAAATAGCCCCTTTTAACAGTTTGCCTTTTGCAGGGATGGTTATTTTACCTGCTTTTAAATGGCAACAGATTTCAAATCTACTCTGTTTCTCGAAGAAGCATGTACCTCCACCAGGTTCATAGGTATAGAACAATTCAATGTCCATCAGTGTCATGCAAGTACTTATAGGTGAAGGGGTACTATTTTTTGGCCTTCTTCATCTTAAAAGTCCAATATAGTTCTGACTGATATGTCTTCTAGATTTAGTTAATGGCATTGTTGACATCGCTGATGCCATCTAGCTATGGGTATACCAAACCATTTCATAAGAACTTGTATTAGTAAGGAGGATAAACGCACATATTTGTTTTCATAAGAATACTTATACTAGCAATTTAGGCACTAGTGGGCAAGGTAGCATAGAATAGTATAAGACTGTAAAAAACAAGCTATTGTTATATTATCCAAAAATTATATTATCCAAAAATATTTCAATGAGTGGCCAGTTAAACTGTCCACGGGCCTTGCAGCTCATTTTTAGGTCATTGTAACAGAAAAATGTAATTTTATATGCCATGATGATACATGATGTCACTCACTATCAGGGGAAAGACTGACAACTCATGGGGCCCCCGGGCAATAGGGGATCATGGGGCCCCTGTGTCCTTGTCCAAACTCAAAAAAGCCTATGAAAAAGGTACCAGGGGCATCTCATGGGCCCCACCTACTGACTTCGGGCCCTCGGGCAGTTCCCGAGTTTCCAGATGGTCAGTCCGCCCCTGCTTACTATATGACCACACAAGTTGTTCTCCAGTAAGCAAATGCCTTTAAAGTGAGACTTCACTTTTGCTAAGAAAAAAAAAAATAACTGCCAGGGGAATTCTTTACATTTTAAGGATTTTAATAAACTATCTATCTTGCAGACTCAAACTTTTCTGCGTTTTTATTAAAGTCACCTGAGCACACTTACTGTTGTAATAGAGCAGTGTACAGGGTTGTATTCATAAAGTGTACAGAATGCTTCCAGTCTGCCATTATGCAAAGAAGCAATATTTTAATTTTTGGGAACTTTGAAAAACCACAGCACACCACAGCTGCGGCTGGACATTAAAGGTCATTTTTGATAACATTAATTGATGAAAAGTTTAGTGGCAATGATATATGAGCAAAAGTGGAGCTTTTCTTTAAAAGCATAGTGCTACACATGGCACTGTTTCTGAAAATAAACTACCAGCCAAGCTTGCTCAGTAAATGTTGACTCAGGCAGCATAGCTGATCCTAATTGATCTAATCCGATGAAAGTATGCTCAGAGGTGTATTATTATTGAGCAATTTGTCCAACTTCCAAGGGTGGCATTTGGACAAAGTAGATGTTTTGTCTCAGGTATGCCTGACATTATAATTATCCATTTGATAAGCATTGCTGTATTTCAGAGGCACAATATAAAGGTCATTTGGGTATGAAATTCCTGTTTTTGGGTTGTTTTTTGTCTTTTAAAAAGGTTTTAGAATTAAAGCAACACAGTAATTTTTCTTTCTGAAATTCATGATACTTCAACATCCCAGCACACATATATTCCTAAAGACTTTAGTGTAAAGAAACGGCACAAGTCTGTGTTTGTATCTCATCAATAGTTTCTCTCACAACTATTGTCAATGAATTTGAATTTTAACTTCATCAGATTTAATTTTAGTCTTTGAATTATAGTTGATTGTTTCTTTATAAATGTATTTGCATTAGTCCGCTGTAGCATTATACATTGGTTGCATGTGTGCAAGAAGTCGCATAATTGCAATTTGGACCATTGACTTCTTTGACTTGTAACTGCTTCTTCTTGGCTTGAAAGGCTACGGAAACCTCAGGGTGTATAGAATCCATCCTCTGCTCACATTTGAAAGCTGTAAGGAAAGCTGTTCTATAATTATTGTTCATCCACCCATAAAGGATTGGGTTGGCAAATGTAGAACACATGGCAATTACATGAAATATTGTATAAATTAGTTTGTATTCATTTAAGTCCAAAACCTTGCTGTCAATGTCACTTGCTAGTTGAAAGGCATGGAATGGCAGCCAGCATACAGCAAACACTACTACCACCGTGACCAACATTTTGGTTGTCTTACGTCTTCTTTGGTGATAATGATCATTTCCTCCCCCTGGACTGACATGGTTCTTCAGTTTAGTCCATATTCTAATATAGGCATATGATATAATAGCTAAAGGTAAAATGTACTGAATCAACAACATCGATATGCTGTAAATGGTGCTGTAATTTAGCTGTCCTCCTGGCCACTTTTCTGCACAAACTTGAATCTTAAAATCTGGTGAAATAACAATAAGGGAATATTCCTTAAAAATGGCGAGCGGACTAGCAAGTGCAGCACTACAAGCCCACGTGATGCCAATTATCATAAAGCAAATTTTTGTAGAGATTTTGCTTTCTAAATGATACACAATGCATCGATGTCTGTCAAGAGCAATCACCATGAGTGTGACAGTGGATACTTGAACAGCAAGGCCTTGAGCGTAGGTCACCAAATGGCACAATACAATTCCAAACTTCCACTCATCCAATAAAGTGTAGACCAATGTGAATGGGAGACATAGCGTGTTCACCATTAAGTCTGACATAGCCAGGTTGACGATAAAGTAGTTTGTGACAGTACGCATGGTTTTGAACTTAATAACTACATAGATTACAAGAGCATTGCCTACCACACCCAACAGAATGATGGAACTGTATGCTAAGATTAAAATGATCTGGACACTGATAAATTTGGTAATGTCAATCAGCTCAGGTTTGGGAGCCATTTCGTTGTAAGGAGTGGTCTGTCCTGGGATGTATAGCCACGTATGCATTTCCACTTTAACATCCTCTGTACTATTCTCTTCCTTCTCCAATAAAAGCATTCCGCCTTTCATTGTGCAGTCTTCTGCTCTACAAGATTGGAATATCCTAAAAAAAAGACATATAAAAGTATTAATATAGATAGGTTAAAAGTCACTTTTAAGTACATTTTCATCAGCTTAGAATGTAGAGGTTAGGTTTTACAGCCCTTTCACAATATTGACAGTTGGATAATTAAAATTCTCAAAACACCTTGCATGCAATGGAAGTCATGACTGGAGCTAAGGGCATCATTAATCTTGCTCATCATCCAGTCTAAAATATCTTAATTTAACAGAAGCAAACATGCCACTAAGGACACGGGCAAGTCGTTTACAACACAAGGCTATCATTTCCTATAGATTCAATAAATATTTGCACAAGGACAGGTCAGAATGCAGGAAATCAGAGGACGTTGTGAATAGAGAGGCAGATTAAACAGCTGAGGCCAAACAAATGCCTAAAGAATTGTTTTAACATCTCTTAAATGATATAAATGAAACCTAGGTAAATTGTATTATGGTTATAATATTATACTTTAGTAAGCCCTAGAACACCACCGTTATTGTCTCTAAGCATTATTTGTTCATACATATGCAATACGCACACATTATTTATTAAAACTTTTCATATATTCCATACACATATAGAAACACAATTATTTGCCAGCTGAGCCCAAAAGTGCCAGAACAGACATTAGACTTCTTTGTCCAATTTTATTTTAAAGTTGATGTCTACCCAATCCTTTTTTGATACAGTGAGGCAGAGTTAAAATCTCTTTCACGGTTTTATTGCTGTGTCCCCATTGCAGAGATTTCACTTCACTTCCTGTTCTAGTGACATGGACCCGCATAGAACCTGAGGGGAAAATAACCCACAAAGCAATATAACAAAATAAATTAATACAGTGGGTTAAACATTTATAAACCCAAACTGTGCTATATAAAAAGTATACTCGGAATGTATATTTGGGAGTCTGAGACCCTTTAGAGAGAATTGCATTTATTTCCTGTACCAGGGAATAAGTTCAAATCACCCCAACATAGTCACAGACATAAAAAAGCTTTGTAGTGGTTCTAGCCTGTCCCAATGTTATCCAAAATTAAAAAAAAAAAATCTTTGTTTTCACATGATTAAAATTAATGAAATGATTAAAGCTAAGTGTTAATTGATTAACCTGCATTCCTGGTAAACAACAGAACTCCAGTATGTAAAAGTCACATACGAACAACAAAACTGTACGGTTGCTATGTAACCTATCTAAACAAATGACTAAAGCTCCCATTTTCTTGGTTAAAAGCTGCTAGGTGTGTACTGCTTCTAATGTATATTTAAAGCATATTTGCTTAAAGGCTATGGCAAACTGAAGGGTGAATGGTTCATATTGTGTTTGATGTCTGAAAAGCTCTGCACAGTATACAGCATATGTCCTGTAAATATGTAGAGTTGCATTTTCCCACTGAATCAGGACACCTTTGATCTTACACCTGATGATATCTAGTGAGTGGAATCAGTAAAACATCTTATGTTCAGTAACTCCACAGTGATAAATCTCTGATAATAAAATTTGTACCACTATTCACGGTTATACTTGCATAAAAGAATGGTTCCACCACTTACCATAAACAATGAAATTACAACTTCATTAGGTCAGATAATCTGATATAAATATACTACACTGTTTAAAAAAATTAAAGGAACACTTTTAATCAGAGTATAGCATCAAGTCAATTAAACTCCTGGGATATTGATCTGGTCAGTTAAGTAGCAGAGGGGGTTGTTAATCAGTTTCAGTTGCTTTGGTGTTAATGAAATTAACAACAGGTGCACATGATGGCTAAGGTCAGTGACACTGCTGGTAGCATGAGGTGATACCTGGACGCTACAGAGGTTGCGCAGGCAGTCCAACTCTTCCAGGATAGCACATCAATACGTGCCATTGCCAGAAGGTTTGCTGTGTCACCCAGCACAGTCTCGAGCATGGAGGAGATTCCAGGAGACAGGCAGTTACTCTAGGAGAGCTGGACAGGGCCGTAGAAGGTCCTTAACCCATCAGCAGAGCCAGAGCCCTACAAAATGACCTCCAGCAGGCCACTGGTGTGAATGTCTCTGACCAAACAATCAGAAACAGACTTCATGAGGGTGGCCTGAGGGCCTGACATCCTCTAGTGGGCCCCGTACTCACTGCCCCGAACCACAGAGCTCGATTGGCATTTGCCACTGAAAACCAGAGTTGGCAGGTCCGTGGCATTTGCCACTGAAAACCAGAGTTGGCAGGTCTGCCATTGGCGCCCTGTGCTTTTCACAGAAGAGAGCAGGTTCACTCTGAGCACATGTGACAGACATGAAAGGGACCGGAGAAGCCATAGAGAAAGTTATGCTGCCTGTAACATTGTTCAGCATGACCGTTTTGGTGGTGGGTCAGTGATGGTCTGGGGAGGCATATCCATGGAGTGACACACAAACCTCTACAGGCTAGACAATGGCACCCTGACTGCTATTAGGTATCCGGATGAAATCCTTAGACCTATTGTCAGACCCTATGCTGGTGCAGTGGGTCCTGGGTTCCTCCTTGTGCACAACAATGCCCGGCCTCTGGGATATTATGTTTCAGTCTATCCTACGACAAGTTGCACCTCAGACTGTCCAGGAGCTCAGTGATGCCCTGGTGCATATTTGGGAGGAAATACCCCAGGAAACCATCCGTGGTCTCATTAGGAGCATGCCCCGACATTGTCAGGCATGCATACAAGCACGTGGGGGCCATACAAACTACTGAGTACCACTGAGTTGCTGCAATGAAATTTCAGCAAAATGGACTAGCCTGTTGCATTATTTTTTCTTTTTGATTTTAGGGGTGTCTTTGAATTCAGTCAAAGTGAATTGATAATTTTCATTTCCATCAATGATGGGACATCCTTATGTTCCTAACACATTACCCAGTCCATATCAGTACAGATATCCAGCATGATATTTTCCCCATTGAGATCTGATGTGTTTTCAAAATGTTCCTTTATTTTTTTTGAGAAGTGTATAATCTTAAAGTCCTGCATGATTTTCCACAGCATCAAAGTGAATGGTCAAAAAACAAATGTTTATGATACACTATGCTTAAAGAAGAAATCCAGGAAAGTTTTTTTTATTTTCCCATGCAGTGGGGATATGCCCACACTGCATGGGTTAAATGCTCTTTTCTGTCTAGGGGCTCAGAAAGTAACGATATACTTACCTAACCTGTCGTTCCTCCAAGCTCAAGACCGGTCCCCGCTGCTCCTGCCCCCCCTGCACACTAGCTGTTTCTGACGTCATCACGCGCATAGCCCAGCTCCGGATGTGAGGATGGCAGGAACAGTCCACTGCTGGAAGAGGAGGAAAGCGGTTTTCAAGAGAATCAGAGGAATGGGTAAGTACAGCTTTACCCTCAGCCCCTAGACAAAACAAGCACTTAACCCATGCAGTGAGGGCACAGCTCCACTGCATGGGAAAAAAAAATGTTTAACTAGATTCCTTGCTTAAGCAAATTGAATATCATCCAGTTAGGGTTTAGATCTACTTTAAAGTGGTTCTAAAGCTAAAACTTTTTTTTTTTATCATAATGCATTCCTTGCACTAAAGTAAAAGACATTTTGCCTGTTGCTTGATGCGTCTATCTTTACCCTAAACACTTATTTGAGTCCTGTGTCGATCCAGCACTGTGCCGTTTGTAAGTCATTTCTTCTGTCGTCCTCTTCCCACAGGAGGATGAGAAAGCAGCATGAGCCATTGGCTCCTGCTGCTGTCAGTCAAATCCTGTGAGCAGAGAGCAGGAGGTGGGGCCATGTCAGGCTGTGAGCATCAATGGACACACACAGACAGACTCAAGAGCAAACCTGCATGTCTACTGCCATAGCAAGCAGCTTTCTATGGGGCCGACACAGAAAAGGGGGATCCAAGAGTGCCAATGGGAGAACCCAGAAGAGGAATTCAAGGGCTGCTCTGTGCAATACCATTGTATACAGCAGGTGAGTGTAACATTTCTATTATTTAAATTTTTTAAAAATTGCCTTTAGAAACACTTTAATAACACTGCCCAATTTTAAAAAAATGCAGCTATACTGAGATAGTGGACATTTGCCTGCTTGAGACAACTGGGAAGTACATTAGTGCACATAAATCCTAATCCAACAATCTATGGTTGGGGAAGACTCAAACCGATGGCTGGCATTCTTCTTGCCTTACAGCATGTTGAGCTTTACATATTTGTAGCTTTCAGTATTAGGAACCACATATTTTTTGAGCCAGAACAATGTCAAAACGGACACTTGAAGCAATGGCACAGAGACTCGTTTTCTGTGCCAGACTACAAAATAAATTGGAATCATGCACTTGCTGACATATCAAGTTCATAATTGAGTTAAACTCTGATGTTATCTAAATATGTTCTTTATTTTATAATGCCATACAGTGTATTCTTCAGTTCCTAGCTTACTGATTAACCACTTAAGCATTGGAAGATTTTACCCGTTTCATGACCAGGGCATTTGTTTTGCTATTCAGGACTGTGGTACTTTAACTGGCAACTGTGTGGTCACACAACACTGTACGCAAATGAAATTTGTATTATTTTTTTCACACAAAATAAGCGTTCTTTTGGTTGCATTTGTTCACCACTGGGCTTATTATTATTTTATTATATACAGGTGAAACTCGAAAAATTATAATATCGTGCAAAAGTTCATTTATTTCAGTAATGCAACTTAAAAGGTGAAAACTAATATATGAGATAGACTCGTTACATGCAAAGCAAGATAGTTCAAGCCGTGATTTGTCATAATTGTGATGATTATGGCTTACAGCTCATGAAAACCCCAAATCCACAATCTCAGAAAATTAGAATATTGTGAAAAGGTGCAATATTCTAGGCTCAAAGTGTCCCACTCTAACTAGCTAATTAAGCCATAACACCTTCAAAGGGTTTTCTGAGCCTTTAAAT